ACGTCGACGAATTGGTCTTTGCCACTGCTGACACTGAGGGACTGGCCCGTATGAAGTCGGAGCTGCAGAAGAGACACACGTGCACAGACCTGGGTGAGCTGCGCAGCTATCTTGGCTTGCAGATCACCGGGGACAGAGCACGGCGCACCATTACCTTGACTCGGTCACACATGGTGCAGCAGGTCCTTCAGCGCTTCCGCTTCCAGTACTCCTCGCTACAGTCCACTCCTCTGCCTACCGGTCATTCGCTCTCAGCTCCACCTTCGGACGAGTCTGTAGAGCCGAGTGGCCCGTATCTAGAGCTTGTGGGCTGCCTCATGTACCTGATGACCTGCACTCGACCTGACCTTGCCTACCCTCTAAGCATTCTGGCACACTATGTTGCGCCCGGGAGACACCGACCAGAGCACTGGGAGGCCGCTAAGAGGGTGTTGCGCTACTTGTGCACTACGTTAGGCGTGGGGCTCGTGCTTGGAGGACGGGGTCCAATTGTCCTCACTGGACACGCAGACGCGTCTTGGGTTGACGACTTGGCTACGCAGCGATCGTCACAGGGTTACACTTTCAGCCTTGGCTCCGGCTCTGTTTCTTGGCGGTCTACCCGCTCGTCTTCTGTTCTCAGTTCCAGTTGTGAGGCTGAGATCTACGCAGGGGCCATGGCTGCACAGGAGTTACGCTGGCTCACCTACCTGCTCACCGACTTGGGAGAGCCGCCTTGTTCTCCTCCAGTTTTGTACGTCGACAACAAGGCCATGATTGCCTTGTGTAAGGAGCCCAGACTGGAGCACAGGACGAAGCACATCGCTCTGCGTTACTTCCTTGCTCGAGAGTTGCAGCAGCGTGGTCAGCTTCGTCTTGCTTACGTGGCCTCTCGTGCCAACACTGCTGATATCTTCACCAAGGCACTTCAGCCTTGTGATCATCAGCGTTTCTGTACTGTTTTAGGCCTTGTGCCTACTTGGCCTCACTTACTCACTTCTTGACTTTGCTTGTACTGTGGTCTATATACTTAGACCTGCATGCTTACACTTGCTAGGTTTTGATTACTGTAATGTTTGTTCTCCATTATATAACTCTGCTTGTGAACTGGCCTTGTGGCCATTTGCTTGTGCTCAGAGCGTGTGGTGACTTCGTGATCCACCCTGAGCTTGCTTTGCTTTCCTTGACTGGTCTTGTGACCTCTTGTTCTCCCCCACTTTGCCTATGGGGGTGTGTCAAACTATTGTAATGTTCATATTGTGTAGGCTGTAGTGGGATAGCCCATAAGGGGTACAACCTAATTAGGGTTAGTACTTGTACCCACTTTCATCTTAGTTCAATCGTGAAACCAATTTTTGGAAACTATTGGTTTCGTTCAGTATTCTTGACAGTGTTTGCCGCAGAGCTCGTGGTTGGGTTGGCAGGAGCTTTGGCTGTGGGAGCCGCCTGCTCACCAGATCCTCCAGCCATGTTTCGGCGGGAGCGCGTACCGGACGCCACCTTGGATTCAAATTTGAATCAGTGGTGGTGATGCGAACAATCCTGAGTAGCTCTCATACCATGTTACAATCTGAATTGAAGGTGTAGGATCATCTCAGGTTGATCGCGAGTGTTGTAGCAACGGAAGATTGCTAGTGTATGTCGGGTACGGAACCTGTCAGTAGAAGGAGATTTGAATCTCGACAGAAGTAAATATAATGATGCTGTACAAGGGTTTATATAGGGATACAGCAGGAATACGAAAGGTCCTAGCTAGCCATGTACTCTGAGGGGGTACATTCCCCTTAGGGCTAATCTAGATGCAGGATTGCAACCGTGCGGTTCGGTAAACGTACGCGGTTCGGTAACCGTTTGAAGTTTTTCCGCGCTTTGCACTTTGAATTCTTCCTGCTTGTAACTGTCTTCGATAACTGTCTTGACGCCCGGTCTTCGTCCTCGCTGCAGTCATCGTCGCGTTAAGGATTCGTTACTCTTAGGAATGTTTATTCAACAATTCTATATCGTAACATTTTGTTCCCCGATTCCCCCCAGCTGTGGCCCATGTTCGGCCATTGTCCGTACTCCATCCTCCTTCAGTGGAGGCCCCCCACCCCCTTTCGTTGAATTTCTCCCAACGCCATCTGCAGTGTTGGGTTTCGCTTTGCCGGCAGAGTTCTGCAGCTTCGCATCGTGCCAATTCTTCTTCTTCTTTAACACTCAGTTCCTTGTTGGGGTCGATGGTGAGGTAAGTCTCCTTGCTGTAGGTTCTAATTCCCCTATTGCATCGAAATTGAACCGTGCGGCACAGGATCCCGTTTCAAACCGCTTCCCGCCAATTCCATTTTGATGCATTGGTGTCGGTATGACAACTGTCTTTGTCGTTTCAATTCATTACGACTCTTGGTCTTCGATATCACTAGTGTTGTTATCGCTGTTACTTACATGAATGCTTTACCAAATTCCTTATCGTAACAGTCTTCCATGTTGAGGGGAGGCTACCGGTGAGGGTTGGTTTACCCTCAGGAATTTGTTTTGCATGGCCTGTCACATTTTGAACCAATTTCAAGATTTTGCGCGCGGTTAATTGCGGGCCTTTAACGTCCGCGTAGTAACCTTAGGTTAATGAGGCAATGTACCTGGAAACTCAAGCTTGGTTAATGAGATGTGTATAAAAGAATGCCAAGTTAAAAGCACATATATTGCGTATACATCCAGACACCCTTGTGTACAAAATCAAGTGAGTGCAACTTGTATCACTAGTTCAACAGTTTCGAGTTTCCTCCTTCTGGGGTTGCGCAGGTCTTCGGCCCCACAAACCACCTGACAGTGAAATAATACAAAGTAAGGCACCCTGCCCAATATTCGTTCTAGCCCTTGACAAATATCCCAGTGTACTACTTTTGAGGTTCCTTCTAGCCCTTGACAAATAGCAATTGTTCAAAAGTCGGGATGATGAAATGGTGATTCACTCTCATTTACTATTGAGAAAATGGGGTCATTTAGTTGAGATTGAGGATGTTTTGCATGTGATATTGTATTTCAAAATCAAATATTGGAGCCAAACCAGTTCACATGTAGAACAGCTCTGAAAAAACCTGCAGGCTAGATTGCACTTCCCTTCAGCTGGCTACCTGCGCATCGGACGTATTCTCTGGGCGGCAAAAGGCGCTTCCATGTGCTGAGATGAATCTCGAGTGGAGGAGGCACCAATTTTGGCATTTTGGGATGAGGACGATTGTCCGTACAGACATATTTTGTGGTAACCAGGATCGCCACAGCTCGTCGATTGTACTCAGATCTGTACGACGAAGCCCGCGTCGCACTCTTCCGTACGATATACGGGGTGAGAGCGCGTGTTGAGCTAGTTAGTGATTATTTTAATACGGCCGACCATATTTGTCACGTCGTTTGGGGACAGCTACCTATTCGAATTCGCTCCACCATTCGTTTCAATATCGTACTCTGATTAAAATGTGGAGCTGTCAGTCTTGCTTAGGCAGTCGTATCGTTGTTTTCGTGAAGTTACCGCACTGGATCTATATTATTATTTTTAGGACAGTACCGTCGCAAAGGCATCAACCCTGGGGTGATTGCTTCCGAGGGGCAGCCATCGCATTGGGCTTTAGTATTTTTTGATCGCGATCATGCCTTCCATTAAGCTTTTATTTCGTGGCTACCACACCAATACTACGGAAATATAATGTATCACGGTTTCTCGGACATTAAACACATTACCACTTATACTCAATATTTTCAACACTTGTTACTATTGAACAAGTATGTCCTGCGAATTTGCTCTGGATGTGATATGGGGCGCGTGCGGAAATTTCGGTCTGTTACGATGAGACAATCACGAAAATAGTTGATGTGCGCAATCTCGCCTATGTACGCTTAGCGTTAATTCAAATTGTCGCACGCCCTCACTCCTCAGGAGCCTGTCAGGTTGTTTGCATCAGCGACTCCGCTCCACATGTGCAGTATTCCCCTGCGGCCGTTTTTCCCCACCCCACCCCTCCCCCCCACGCAAACACCTGTCCCAGTTCCGAATCATCCTGCCAAACCAGCCCAAACCTGCACCAACCACCTGCTCAAATCCCTGGGCCCCTTAGGGCGTCGATTTTTTTCGAAACCCTACCGAAACGCAATGAACTTATACTAAACCCTTTTGACATGGACAACATCCCATTCCACCGCAATCAAATGAACTCATTTGACACGCCCTGAACTCATCATCGGTATATTAGTAAGCTTTCTCCGCTCATTCCATATCATGCTGCACGCCCCGTTTACACCTAGAACGCGAAGGAGAGAAGTAATTTCCACCATGGCTCGCTATCTCGTCGCTAGTTTGCTCATTCTCCTACTTGTGGCGTCTGTTGTTGACGCAGGTAACAGTAACGGCAATGGAAAGTCTGAGACCAAGGTTGAGAGCAAGCCCGAGACCAAGGTTGAGAGCAAGCCTGAGACCAAGGTTGAAAGCAAGCCTGCGAGCAAGGTCGAGAGCAAGCCCGAGAGCAAGCCCGAGCAAGCCCGAGAGCAAGCCTGAGAGCAAGCCTGAGAGCAAGCCTGAGAGCAAGCCTGAGAGCAAGCCTGAGAGCAAGCCTGAGAGCAAGCCTGAGAGCAAGCCTGAGAGCAAGCCTGAGAGCAAGCCTGAGAGCAAGCCTGAGAGCAAGCCTGAGAGCAAGCCTGAGAGCAAGCCTGAGAGCAAGCCTGAGAGCAAGGATGAGAGCAAGGATGAGAATCATGGAAAGGGTGAGAGCAATGGAAAGGGTGACGCGGAGGTTAAAAAACAGTCGTCGAAGAAAAGAGGGCACCTGTGCGTTGATGGGTGCGACTACGAGAAGGGCTCCTTTGACTACTGGAAGGTGCGTCAAGTTGCGGAGATTCTTTGCTTCTGCCAGTAGTCGATGGATCACCATGCTTGCAGCAAGTTTATGTCTAATTTCAAGATATGGTAATGCGAATGCCATCGTTGCTCTGCTTTCTCGCAATAACCCCTTTCCGTGCGTTCCTTAACGCAGATTCCGGAGTACAAAGATTGCATGTCGAAGGCCACTAAGAACACCGCCCCCTGGTGCGCGTCTGGCGTGGTTAACGCCAAGGACTGCTGCGATCGCTGCAAGAGCCCCGGCACCACCCTGGACGGCAAGCCCTATGAATGCAAATACTGGGTGCACATCCCGTAAGCACCTACCAAACTGTCGCGGCATTCTTTATTCAGCCTGTTCATGTCCTCGTTCGTATCGCCTGTTGATTTAGACGTATCGCCCCTCAGTGACCTTGGGTTAACAGCGTCATAACCTGTCGACGTACTTGTTCGCTTCCTTCCCGGCTCAATGTAAGTTGCTCGCACGTCTTCCCAACCCAATTCCTCTTAAGCTGGTTTCCTGATCGTCGCTCCATTGCCCTATCGCTTTGCTCTTCGCTCTGTTTGTCGCTTTGCTACGCAGATCGTCGCCCAGCGAGGGCAAGTGCAACGGCAAGGATTGCGGCAAGTGCCTTCTCCTGCCGAACCTCGATTCCCTCACGCCCACTAAGAGCGACAAGAAGGGCTGCGGCGGAAAGAAGGTGCGCATCGGCAGGAACTGCCCCGTCGCCAATGACGACCCGCACTTTGTGGGCGCGCACAGCACGCGGTTCGACTTCAACGGGCTGCCCGAGAAGAACTTCTGCCTGTACACGGACCGCGCGGTCCACGTGAACATGGGCATGCGCGGGTACCTCGACTCGCGCTCCACGCAGAGCGCCGCCCTCGTCGTCAACGGCTCCGCCGTGCGCACCTGGATCCGCCAGCTCGCCGTCATGTGGACTGACGCCGACAGTGACAATACCGTCTCCGCTAAGCCCGCCGCCCACTCGCTGGTGCTGACGGCGCGCGACGGCAAGGAGCAGCTCCGCGGCGACTCCGGCTTCCTCGCGTCCGCCGAGATCGACGGCACGCCCCTCCCCCGCCTTACCCCGGGTGAGACTCGCAGCCTCGCGGGCGGCAAGTTGTCGCTTGAGTTCGTTGGGGAGGAGAAGACCGGACCGTACGACGTGGATCACTACTATCTGCGCCTCGACGGGCTTCTGGAGTTGGACCTGAAGTTGCGCCCCGCGCACCCTCTGTTGCAGACACCTGCCGACGCCCAGGTGCATATTAATGTGATGTTCACTGACGCGAGCGCGAGCAGCAGCGTGCACGGCGTGATGGGGCAGACGTACCGCGATGGCAGGGAGGCGCGCACGGTGGAGTTCTCTCGGCTCGCCGCGATGCTGCACCACCCCGTGTCCGCCGATGGCGCGGAGGGCAAGGGCTTCCTGGACGGGCAGGTGAAGGACTATGAGACCAGCGCCGTCACCTCCACTGACTGCCGCTTCTCCGCCTTCAACGGTCAGGAACTGCCCCTGTCTGCTTAAAGCGAAGACTTTGTGGAACCATAAATTTGTATTGTATACAGGGTGATTTGTTGCAGGTGGGTGTAACGGTATTAGTATTTTTATTAGTATTATTTGATTTGTTGGCTATGTAAGAGAAGTAACCAATGGCTGGTTATGAATGATTGTGTTTTACCAATTAGGTTACCAATTCAAAGCTGAACCTTACGAGTAGTACATCTAGCATTAGCTCTGGAATGAAATATAATAATACAGAAATGTCACTCTTACTCAGAGAATGAGAATGATTTTGTCATGAAGAAGCAGGCCTGATCATAGCCTAAGTCTTAGCCGAACACCTTTCCTCCATACCTTGCTGTGTTTTGCGTATCTGTTTCTTAGAAATCCAAAATCATGTTTCAAATGAATAGCCATTTGTGTTTACCCACCGTAGTTCTGTGTAGGCGATAGTGGGGTAGCCTGTATGGGCTCTGGATATCAGACAAAATCCGTCTGATGGTCTGAAAATCAGACACGTTTTTATATATTCAAATGACTTTCCAGACAAACCATTTTTGCTCATCTGAAAAATAAGACCACGGGCTAATAGGCCGTCTGAGTATTCAGACAGCGAGTACAATTTCGTCTGAGACACAAAAGTTCCGAAGCATGCAAAGAGCTGGACATCGGGTTGATAGAGCCTGGATAAATTTGTTGTCTACAATTTCTCACGTGAAGTAGTTAGTCCTCCGCCGTTTTGGTACTCGTGACAAAGGTCAGGGTTCGATTCCTTCTGCCGCCACTGCATTCTAAACTTCGCTTTAAATCTGAAAAGGTTATCCATTAGAAAAATCGGACAAGTGTATATGTTTAGTCTAAAAATTCAGACAAGGGCCATTGTTTCATCTGAAAAATCAGACCATCTAAGATTGCTCGTATTTCCTTCAGACGAAAAGTTTTCTCCATTTTTTTTTTCAGACGGGCCAAAAACCTAGCCAGAGCCCTGTATGGGATATGACCCAATGTTAGGGTTAGTACTTGTACCCACAATTATTTCAATGCAGTCATCCTAGCTTCTCATTGTAACATGGTTTCGGAGTAGTAGGTCCATAGGACCCTTTTTTTTTTTTTTTTTTTTTTTTTTTTTTTTTGTTTCGGGCCCACCATTCCGACTGCGGTTACTGCGTTACCCCACTGCCCTACTGTCAAATGTTGTAGCCTGTAGTGAGGTTTGTCTTAGGGGGTACAAATGTTAGGGTTTGCTATATGTACCCCAACCCTCATCAATAACACAACACTTTCATTCTTGACATGGTATCACCTAGGTTAGGATCCTGTAGGATCCCGTTCTTCCCGCCCGAGCCTGACGCGCCTCACCAGTTCTGTCGCGTAGCTGTCGACACTCTCCCGTTCCGTGTCCCGTCCCGTCCTGAGCCCGTTCCGTCGCGCGCGTTCCCTCTGCGCCCGCCCGTTAGCGCCCGCCCGTTCGCGCCCGTCTCGCGTGCCCGTTAGGCTGCCGCCACGCCTGCCCGTTAGGCCCGCCGCGGGCCCTGCCTTCGCGCCGCCGCGCCTGCCCGTTACGCCCACCGCGGGCCCTGTCTTCGCGCTGCCGCGCCTGCCCGTTAGGTCGCCGCCGTGCCTGCCCGTTAGGCTGCCGCCGCGCCTGCCCGTTAGGCCCGTCGAGGGCCCTGCCTTCGCGCCGCCGCGCCTGCCCGTTACGCCCACCGCGGGCCCTGTCTTCGCGCCGCCGCGTCTGCCCGTTAGGCCGCCGCCGCGCCTGCCAGTTAGGCTGCCGCCGCGCCTGTTCGTTAGGCCCGTCGAGGGCCCTGCCTTTCGCGCCCGTCGCGGGCCCCGCCCTAGCCTCTCGCCGCGCCTGCTCGTTAGGCCCGCCGCGGGCCCTCCCTTACAGCCGCCGCGCCTGCCCGTACCGCCCGGCGCCGCGCCTGCTCGTTAGGCACGCCGCGGGTCCTCCCTTACAGCCGCCGTGGGCCCTCCCTTACAGCCGCCGCGCCTGCCAGTTCAGCCAGCCGCCGCGCCTCCTCGTTAAGTCCGTTGCGGGCCCGCTCGTTGGGCCCTTCCTTCGCACCGCTGCGCCTACTCGTTCAGTCCGCCGCGGGACCGCCCCTAGCCCCGTTGCGCCCGCGTTTTGCGCCCGTCACGGACTTGCCCTAGCCGCCCACCGTCCCTACCAGTGCCACCCGCCGCCGGACTTGTCGCTTCTACTTACACTATGGCGACCCCTAGGGTTCTTCGCTTTGACGCTGACAGTAGACCGCTCGAGTTTCCGGTCTGGCTCCTACGCGCGCGTCGCCTTTTAGAGAGTCAGGTTTAGGCGGGCGAGTCCCTTTGGGCGCACGCTACTGGTGACCTTCCAGCGCCCGACGACCCTACGCCTTTAGGCACCGCCAATGACGACGCAGCCAGGGACCGCTTTACCCGCCAGCGTGCTGACCTGACGGCGTGGAAGTCGCGTGACGCTGCGGCCTGCATCGCTCTTAGCAGCCTCCTCCCTGAGTTTGAGGAGGCCCACTTCACTCAGGTTCGCACTGCTAGTGAGTTCCTGACTGCGATTAAGGCCCGCTACGCTACTCCCACCACTGTCTCTCTTGGCCGACTCTTCCTACCGTTCCTGTTCCCTGACCTCGCCTCGTTTGAGCGCTCTGCTGACTTGATTGCTCACCTCCGCTCGCTTGATTCTAGCTACCGCGCTGCTTGCACTGAGGCACAGCTTGCACTGCTTCCTCCCCCCATGGCGATTACTATCTATTTCATCGCCACTAGCCTCCCTGGCCGCATTGCCTCGGTCCGTGATACGCTTCTCCTGAAGCACCCTAGTGAGCTCACTATCGAGGTCCTTGAGTCTGCGCTCAAGGACGTCGAGAGCAACCTCCGCTCCGTAGCCTCCGCCTCTGGTGCTGTGCCCCCTCCACTGTTCCACGGGTGCACTGTCCCTCAGCTGCCCACCTTTACAGCCTCTCTCGCCACTGCTGCTACTGACGTGACCGCAGCTGCTGTTACGACTTCTTCGCGGTCTCGAGGTAGAGGTGGCAAGAGGGGCGGTCAGGGTACAGGTGGCGGCGGCGGTGGAGGCGTTGGCGGCGGAGGTGGCGGGGGTGGCGTGCCGACTGGTGGCGGAGGGAGCGCAGGGCCTGGAGAGGCGTCTCGTGCAGCGGCCAGTGACTCCCCTACTGCAGCTGGTGGAGGCGACACCCACCTTCTGGTCAGCCGGCCGCGGCGGGTGGAGCAGCGGCGTGGTACCTGGCCCAGTGGCAGCAGCAGCTGCAGCAGCAGCAGCCCCTCCCCTCGCAGCAGCCCTCGCAGCAGCAGCGGCAGCAGCAAGTTTCGGGGCCAGGACAGCGCCAGCCCCAGCGAGGTGTTGTACACCCTTCGTGCACCTATCAGCTTTTGACAGGTGCTCGCCGAGGCCAGCCTTGTGGCCGCACCCACCCTCCTGGTCAGTGTTTTTCTCAGCTCACTGACACAGTTCGCTTGGCCTTCGGCGTTGGCGGCCCTGCCCTTGACTGGTTTCCTCTTGTTGAGACGTACAGCTCCGCTCTTTGGGGCATGTCAGCTTCTCAGTTGGTTGATCTCTTAAGAACTCCTCATGCTATGTATGCTGTTGTTGACTCTAGTGCTTCTGACTCTGTTTACTCGAGTGTTGTTAGCTTAGGTGCTAGTCTTGCTGAGTTGCCTGTTGGTAGTGTAGGCACTTGTGTAGACACTAGTCCAGGAGCTACTTCGGAGGACACTTCGCTGTCTTTCACTTTGGACTCTGGGGCTTCGCACTGCTTCTTCCGGGACCACACGACACTTACTCCGCTTCTGGCGCCGGTCTCTGTGGCTTTGGCTGATCCCACCTCGGGACCAGTCACTGCTCGCTATGTTGGAGTAGGCTAGAGCTCGCTCTGGCCTTTATTTTGGTGTTCTCTTATCATTCCACCATGCTTAGAGCGAGTTATGCTTCCAGGTTCAATTTAGGTTCATTTCGTAGCTATAGTACAAACTGAACACACCCTAAGTTCAATTAGGGTTTCCAATTCCTTTCTAGACTTGTATCTCGACACTTCTTTCCTAATACAATTTTCTCTCGCTACCTTCTCTCTTCATAGCCATGGCTACCACACTCTCAGTTTTAACATGGTATCTAGAGCCAAATCCTTGGCGTTTTGTCCCAATCTATATCTCTTAGTACGGTTTAGGCCTTAGGCATCCGGCGCGCCACTTTTTACCTAGTCGAAAATTATCTTCCCTAGTATTTCGACCCTTAAAGTTCTTTTTTTTTTTTTCAATCACGGAACCTTCCATCCATCACCCGAGGTCTCCCTGCCTAGTCACGCGCCCCGTCCCCTAGTCGCGCGCCCTGTCTCGTCGTCGCGCCGCCCTCCCCCCCCCCCACCTCGTCGCGCGCCCTACTCACCGCCGCGTCGCGCGCCCTGCCCGTCGTCGACGTGCGCGGCCGCGTCGACGGCGACGTGCGCGGCCTCCCCGCCGTCGATGCGCGCGCGCGTCTTGCCCACCGCCCTCCATCTCCTTGGCCACCCTTCCCTCCTCCCAGCCACCCTTCCTTACCCTCTCGTGGGCGGCCTGCCACACCTCCCTGCAGGCGCCTTCCCCTCCCCCCCGTGGTGCGCCTTCTTCTGCCGTTTCTGCACCACCTCCTCCTTCTCCCCTCACCCCATCCGCCTCTTCACCCTCCTCCTCCTCTCCTCATTCCTTCCTCCCTTCCGTGCCTTTCCTCCCTTCCTCCACCTCCTTCCCCTCCGCATCTGCCACCTGGCTGCGTGTTACTGATTGCCACTTGGTGATCGTGACCCTACTTCCTCCCCACACTCCGCTCCTTCACCCTCCTCCTCCTCTTCTCTCTCCCTCTATTTCCCCCACCCTCTCACCTCTTCCTCCGCCTCTCTTCTCTCCCTATCTGCTGCAGCTGGTAGCTGTCCGTGTTTCGTCGCCTTCCACACCTTTCCTCCTCCTCGTATTTCTCCCCTCAGCGGCGCAGCAGCAGACTACTTCGCCGCTATCCCTCCTCCTCGTATTTCTCC